TAGCCTTGTTAGTTTGTTTGTGTGTGTGTGTGTGTGTGTGTGTGTTATATATGTATATGCAATATATATATATATCAATGTTTGAATGTTAAGAAGGTACATGTATACCTATATATACATGCGTATTCACATAAATGCATAAATAAAAATATATGCAAAAGTGCATATTCTGCATTGGGATTGTGCAACACGCATATATTGGATACTTATTCGCTTTGCTGCTGTCGACTGTTATATCTACATTCACATACATAAACCTATCTTGTATATCTGAAGATATCTATTTTATATGCGCACTGGAAGGAACATCTCTGTTTGAAACAGTGCGAAGGCTCATACCGATTTTTCTGCCAGCCCGAATACCCATCAGTCTCCACACTTGTGACTGTGATAAACTTTGACTTCCAATCACATGGCACTGATTCCCACACGCTACTAAACCCTTGGTGGTGACTCCATCCCACCTTTCTTGCTGTCCACCTAATGCGCAGGACTGAACGGAAGTATATACGATTGCTCGGCAAGGCCCGATTTCTATGGTCCAAGTAAGTTCTGTGTTTGACCGCCTTCCCCACTCCTGTTCACTGGGTGCACCAGTCGCGATTCTCTAGCACACGTACTCAGTCTGTCTCTGCTTTAAAGGGCCCCGATATTCACATCATTTTACTTGAAGCAATCTATAGTTAATCACTATTGCTGTGGCATATTCCGTATGCACTTTCATTGCTACGAGCCAAACTCTAGCATATATTTATATATATATATATACTATGTGTGTGTGTGTGTGTATGTTTGTATGTTGTATGTATGCATGTATGTATGTATGTATGTCTGTATTTATATATATATGTATGTATGTATGTATGTATGTATGCATAAATGCATATATGTGTACATGTATATTTTAATGTATGTATATATATATTATTATATATATATATGTATGTATATATAAATATAAATATATTATTATATTATTATATATTATTGTAATGTATATATATATATATATTTATATATATATACTTGCTGGTCGCTCACAAACTCTTCCCGACTTCGCAACTGTTGTAATTCATATATCGATGATGGGAATAATCAGTAGCCAGCACTCGGTCTTCCATTCTTCTCCCTCCTTCTCTGTCTCATTTCTGATATCTGTATCTGTCATTTGAGCAGAAGGTCCTTATGGTCTGTTTGCGGGTAGAGATGCGAGTCGTGCACTGGCTACGGGTGACCTATCCGGTGACTCACTTTCCACAGAACACGACGATTTAGGTGTGTATGTTCGCGTTCTGAATGGCACAAGTTGTCAATGTGATGTGTTATGTGGCATAGCGAAGTGTGAAGCGCCCTGCTCCGTTATCGTCTCGAATGTATTACACTAGGCTGCATTGTCCTTGTTGTATGTTACACTCTCTTGTCCATGTTTGATCCAAGGTTTCACACTGTACCTGACTTTACCTGACCTGGCCCCATCGGCCCATATCTTGGGTCTTCGTCCACATGTGGTTCTCTGCATACCCTTGCCACTAAGCTATCCGCGTTATTGTATCGTTGTGAAATCTCTCTCCTCCTCACAGCGACATTGACTGAAGATGAGAAGGAGGCCATGCGCGAGTGGGAGCAGACCTACAGCATAAAGTACCGGCGGGTGGGTGCGTTGGTACGTGAACACGTATCAGCTGCGACTACAGACTCTGAGGGGAACATTCCCACAAGCTCCACCAAGGTACGTTACAATCCCTTGACGTGCTACAGAGTGCACAGTACTCTCTCCCCATAAGCATTCCACACATTGCTGCGTAACGCACACATTCCGTCGCGATCGAAAGTGCATGGTTGGGAGATGGGTGTGTCGCCGGTCAGGTCCACGCGTGTGGTCACGGGGATTGTTGTATCGCTAGAAATTAGTACTGATATCTGGGCCGGTGGCGGTGAAAGCTCATCATCTGCGCACTCTTGGCCACTCAGTTACTATTGAGCACACGATTACTATTCTTCTGTGAATGGAGGTATGTAATTAATTACGGGCGGGTTATGGCCCATGTGAATACTCAGGTTTGTGTTCGTGTGTATTCGTTTTCCACTCAGACCACGGCAACAGTGCCAGACGCTCACTCTGCAGAGGCAGTGAACCCCGATCCTACGCCGACAGCAGAGGCTGAACACCAACCCGTGGAACAACCGAGCACCGTGGGGAATCAAACTGCCACAGCTACGGAAGACTTGGAGCTTGATCCTACGATCCTCCCACCACCACCACTACCAGTTGTAACGGACATCGACGCAACCAACGAACCAAATCCCGCAAGCCAAGACGTTGGGGATGTTGTGCATACCCAGGCTGCGGAGGTAGATGCGAGTTCGGTTTCAGACGATCAGAAGTCGGCAAATGATGCCGACGGGGACTTAAACAATGAAACGAGCGCGCGAGAGAGTCACCTTTTGTCTCGATTGCGTGCGGAGTCGAGATCGCCCACGCCTTCTGTTGGCAAAGACTGGGAGTTTGTTGAGAAAGTATGTACTCGTATGGGACTGGAATGGGCACGCGCGTGTGTACCTATATCCGCACCCATGTATTGTGCTTGTGTGCGTAGCTTGTGGTCACCAGTAGATATGGTGGAGGGATGTGTGATCAGTGCAGTCGTGTGTGCTGGGTAACCTTTATACGGGTGCCAAGCAGAGCGTGTGGTAAACAGATGTATTTACGCGGATGAGACCTATGGATGGTGTGGCATCACTGGGGTTTGCACGCGTCCCAATTCAATACAATGCTTGTGCCTAACTTTTGTTTGTCTTTGGTGTCTAGTGAACATCCGTGTTGTGTTCATTATTATCCGTGCTCTGTCGCTGTACTGCTCAGTAGGATACAGTTTGACCTTTGGGTGACATTGTTTCTCTTTGTGGGCCACACATGGGGTAAATTTGCAGCACCACGTATTCATCAAATTGTATTCATAAACTTATAGTATCCTCTAAATAATGCTTGTGGTTCGAAATGCATGTGCCTAAGATGGAACGTTGAGCTTTGGGGCTTAGTTCTATTTCGCCAACAACTAACTATCTCGAGTATGCACGCACGTGTGCAAAACCACATCATGTGGTCACAGGCCGATGCCGAAAGTAAAACTCTTTAGAAGGAAGGTTATACGATTCATTACGGTATACGGGATACATGTGGACCCCAACCCACCTGAGCGAAGGGAGACACGCTCATTGGCTCAGCTTTCCCTCTCACGACTTCACATCGAACAACATCAACCCACAACTGGACAACCCCTAAAAGACATACATGTAGAAACGTACAAATGTACATACGTCGACATACATCTCCACGCGCATGTCATCTGACGTGTCAAAAATAAGAGAGCTTCTGATATACCACTGCGCCGGACGCCACCAAACGAGTTTTAATGACACTGACGGGCGAGGATGTGAAGGATTAGGGCAAATGTGTGTCAGTGGAGAAATGGGCGCAAGTTGTTGCGTAGCCCTACACTATCCTTGCTGCATCTCAGTCGCGAGGATCAGAGTTCTTCCCACGTTGGCGTTGTTCTGCACGGCTATCTTTTCCTGTGTCAACCCGTGGGCTATGATTGCTTGATGTGGCACGCGCGGTATCACAAGTGTATCTGTAGTATATAAATGCATGCAGCTTGTACTTACTTCAATGTTATGCCAATTTTGAACTTGTTTATAAGTATGACGTTGCACCTTGCTTGTACTTTATGATTTACCTGAGGTCGCGTCAAACTCGACGCCTTCCTTCAGAGATATATCACAATAAAGAGATAAGTTGCCGATGATAAAGTCTCAGTCTGCTAGCTGGGCGTTCTCTTCGTCTGTTTGCTAAGATTTTCAAAAACTAGTGAATCCTGTCGTTCGTTGAATAGTTGCATAGACGAGGTACTCTGTCCATTCGTGACGGGCCCGAACCTAGAATTTCGTTACATGACAAGACACTTCCTCGACTATGAATTTCAGCACTTTTGATCGAGGCTACCGTCAATCGTACCCGAAATATTTGAAGCCGAGCAAGCTGAGGTCGAATAAAACCCTAGGACTCGCACTCTCGACCTTCTTTTTTTTTTATTTATTTTTATTTTTAAACTGAAAAAAACCCCCAAAAAATGAATATATAAAAAATCTCCCCACCCGAAATCGAATCAGGGACCTACCGATTGATGTAACCACTACAGTCGGTTGCTCTACCAACTGAGCTATAGAGAAGACATGACGGGGTGAAAAGAAAAATATATAATTTACAAAAATTATTTCTCTGTCTCAATAAGTTTTTTTTGTTTGTATGTTTTTTCATAACCTTATACACACACGATATTGACCCCTGACCCTAATCCGCTGTCTTAATCCTGAATCAATCGTGGCCGGTCGTCCGCAGAGTGTGAAGATGGGCAGCTTAACCAATCAATGATAAGCCGGCTGCACGACTCGCCGTCAGATGCGCTTCTCGTAAAAGCATACTCGTAGCGCGTGATCCGGCTGACTTTGCAATCATTGCATTCGTGATACACTTGAAATACAAGTTGAATAAGATTCGAGTGTACAATCCTGTGGATTTTACAGCCTTTCTCGATCCTCCCTTTAAGAGCATTGCTCTGACCTGATCATTTCAGAATAGTTGCTTCGGTTGATTATGTGATATCGAAATCAGGTAATGATTCCACGACATCACTTGAACTTGAAGACTCTTCTAGTCCATCTTTACGTGAAGGCTCTAAGATATATATACGACTGAAAGTTGGTTGACTATGAGTTGGATAATATGGTTGCATGCACCAGTTTAAGAAGCCTAATCTGAGCTTCGTAAACAGTAAATCTGTCTACAAGAATCTTCTTGTAGAATGCCTTTGCTAGTTGATGCTTGTGTTGTTTTGTTGTCATCTTGAGACCGTAGTGTCAAGATTGTAACCTTGTAACCTTGTATTCTCCCGCGTTGCTTATAGATGTTTCTGACTGTGACCACGTATTTGTTGCAATTGGACCTATTCGACATATTATTATACGCCACCAAGTGTACTTTGAGATGCTCGAGTTCTATGGTAGAGGAAAGCAACTACCTCGCTAACCACATAGATTGGCTCACATCGAATCATAGAGATTATTTTGTCGAACCAACTATTTGAGGTACCATCCTGTATCATTCTGTACATTTACTAAGTAATTCAGTAACTGTGATAATAACAACCACGGTGGATTCTCCCATATGTTCTCGTCTGATAAATTGATTTTAAAATGTATCACTTTGTTTCAAACTCATGTTGCACTCTATTACGCTCAGCAGCCATATTCAATGTAAGCGCCTTACGTTTAATATATATGGTTAGAGCCAGAGAAGAAGATTTTTCACTGTTTGTAAGCAGATAAAATGGGTTTCCCATATAAAAAGTAGTGACAGATAAAGGATTTCAAATCCATCAGGGCTTGCAATAACCCGAAGAAGGCCTTCTGTCTATCTCGTATATTTATACGTGACCACTCATTTTGATTCCTATTGAAGATTCGAAGGATGTTAGTCAAGCTCTGCCCCATCCATAAAACAGGTTTGTAGTAAGTGTAATCGTCGTCATATATTTTGTCAAAAATATCTTTGACTTGTGACTTCATAACAGGGCCATCAGGATCAAACGAGCGAGCAAATGAGATCTCGGAAATTGGGATATGGTGAGTGCCTAGATTGGTTGCACGAGTATTATTATCCACTTCATAAGTATTACCTTTCTTATCGTGATATGAGATCATAGAAGGTCTAGCCATCTTAGACGAGAGTTTTGTCACATTGTCGTATCTATTGATATTGTTAACGCATTCTTCAACTTTAAACTGAACAATTTTCTTTTCATTATTACATCGGTCATGTGCCTTTGACAAGACGAGATTCTTGTGCTCCAGTAAACAGGGGTAAACAACGTTCTGCATATGCTCGATTTTTTGTAGCTACGGGGTAATGTGTTTCCTCGGCGCAGTTTTATCAAATGTTGCTTATACTTCACCAAAGCGGCCCATGAAATAGTGAAACGGGAGTGTTCTGCTTTCAGGAAGTATGTAGTTATTCATTCGAAATTGAACCCATTTAAAATGAGAAGGTCTCCTATCCTCAACGGCATCTAGTGCGGCACCCAATGGTTTCTTAAGTTTTCTATGACGTGTCTCATTTGCACCCTTTGAAGTTTATAAGGAACACCACGCTCATGGGTCATGCGCGATACGAGTAAAGGTACCCCCATTTTGTCGGTTCAAATAGTATAATTCTGTAATTGTTTGCGGCGTTTATTCAGTATTGCATAAAGTAAATTGTAGCCCGAAGTCTGTCACGCATAAGAACTGGCATCGCCCGTATGCTTGTATCGTGAGAGTTTATCCAAATCAACTATGAGTCCGCGTATTGGTTGGTATTCTGTTACACTTTTTAGGAGTCCCCAGCTGTAACGCTTGATCTGGTTCTATTCAGAATCTGTACAGCATCGGTGAGCTTCACGTATGATTTCATTCTGTGCCGGGTGATAAAGCCCTGAACGAATATAAGTATGCTTGTAAGATCGATGAGTTGAGCTATGTCTGACCTAAACTTTACTTTCATGCTCTTCTAAGTCAGATTTCGAATAGCACGGCTGGGTGAAGCATCACTATTAGGGTAACTACGGTATTTGTAGGAGTCTTTTCCTGTGATACATAGGTACCAACGTTAGAATGCTTAAGTTCCTTATTCAGCTGTTTCGGCTCTTCTTTAAGAAGCGCTCTAAGAGTACTTGTGTTCGAGCTTCACGTTTGCATAAAGGTTTGAGTATTAAATGCACAGCCTTAACCAGTTCAATGTTTTTACAATCGAATGCCGCTTATATCGGCATAATCTCGACTGCATTCTTGTTGGGTGTATGTGTTGTGCGGGTCTGGATCTTGTGATTAAACTGCTTAGACTCTTCCAATTTGGCTAGTAATTTGGTTGAGGGTTCCCATTTAGTAGTACCTGCAAGACCGATACGACAAATAGAATCGGATCCCTGATACAAGAACGTGTCGACCTTTCGATCGAAATATATGAGTTGTCTTTACAGTATCATACTAGTATGTCCACGTATCCAAGGATCGAAGTTACGTACGCGGCAACACAGTGTTATTGTAGATTTGGTTATGTTAACGTTATTTAACAACAGATATCATTGTCAAGATGGGTTTGCCCATATATTATGTTTAGTTAAGTCCGACTGAAACGCATCGCCATTAGGGTGTGTCAACGACCTATATTCGTGTACTTGTTTTTTATTTACGACATGAGACTACAGCTCTCAGACCAAATTTTACAGCAGGGAAACTCCTTGATTATAGATATCATTAGAGCTATGTCACTCCCGAGAACTAATCATGTTTCCCAACACTCTCGAGGGTTGAGTTAATTTCTTAATTGATTCCTGAAATTGATCAAGTTTGTTACCCGCAACAACCTAAAAATAGCTGCGCCCCTAAGTGAGTCACAGCCTATGCAGAAGTGTATCGTGAGATCAGCTTGAGATAAAGTAGCAGAGAAGTCGAAATAGAACAATATCGAAGTGTTAAAGTGTACTGCAGAAGGGTTCTCATACTGACCATATGAAGTTTTACATTGGCCATCCCAAGCGGTTGAACACTAGCACAAACGCCTTAGGTATAAAACTAAAGGTGAGATCATAAATAAGGACACACGTTTGCACTTTATTCAGTTAGTAGCTAATAACTCTTTGACTGTTTTCCAAAAGTCAGGGACAAGTCAAGAAACCTTGTCAGGAAGATGGTTATATATTCCTGGTGTATGTGTAATGTTAAGTGCAAGCTTGACAGCTATATCATGCCAGTGGCTCACCAACTGTGATTCAGGATTCATGACTTTTAGGTAAGTTAAGGACTTTAAATCACAGGCGACAATAAAGTAGCTTCCATGTAGATAGTCTGTATTGTCTTGGCGCAGCTACAATAGTAATGGGTTATTGTTTAACGGCAGAGTAGTTTCGATAGTTTTTATTGTAACTCTTACTTGAAAATTATATATAGGATAATATTGTATATTTTAATTTCGATAAAGTTTTATATGTCTACGTGTACATCAGGCTTCATATTCGTTGGAGAGATTATGGTAAAATCGAAGGGAAGTTGAGATTGTCAAACTGCCGCGAGAAACTCGGGGCGAGTGATGCAACAATGGAAGACATACGGTGCGTTAGTTCACGGCGATGGATACAGAATTCCTCTACCATTGGGTGAGAACTTAAACCTGTGTGCCATTGCGTGGAATAAAGCTGGCCCACACTTGTAGTGGTAATTCGGTCTGAGATATTTTGAACGTGATACCAAGGAGGGTGAGGTTGTCTTCAGCAATTCTGTTTCAGAGCGAAGTCGGGGGCTGTCCGATACCACACCACATAATTGCTATATTTGGAATATCCTGGTTAGCCATAGTGGGAAGTATCATGGGTGGCACCAGAAGTCTCGAAGATTTGGTCTGTACGTTGCCTACCCTTTATATTTTGATATAGTACGCCCCCCAACCACTCGATCTTCGATCTGAAGTGTCGGTCGCTCCTTGGAATGGAACGTCATCTACCGTATATTGCATGATCGGTGCATCCATTTACATATTTTTTTACTATTTTAAATACTCCATCCCATTCTTTAGTCCATAGATTTTCCAACGGTCCTTTGTGAAGTCGTACATGACTGACAGTTTTCAGATAGTGGTTAGGGTGAGGAACTGAATTCAAAAAGAAGTTAGCAATCCCACACATATAGTTTACATCTTTCCCTGTAGCTGATGTTA